ATGTGTAGGTGCTGGGGGTCCATGGGGTGTAAATGCTGATACTGGTGTAAACACCCAGCTTCCTGGCCATGGTTGGACTCCCAACTTAATACCTGCTCAGTCCAGATGCCACCAGTGTCATAAATGCTCTCAACCACATTTGTGTAAGCTCCCTCTGCCTCCATAGTCCCCCTAGGGGTCCACCAGATAGGAGCTCCAGGGGCTGGGAGGGACAGCCCCCTTCTGGTCCCACTCAGTCCCTGAAGCACTCCCCTGGCCAGGGCCAGCAGGCAGAAGGCCCACAGATTGGATGTTCCTGGCAGTGGCAGGGTGGCTAGCCTACGAACTGGGGAACCCCCTGGCCAATGGGACCAGCCATGTGGATGACATAATCTACTCTCCAAATCAAATGAAATTGTCCTCCGTGGTTCTGGGAGCTTCCCGCTGGTGGGGAGGTGGCCGTCGGTAGGCGTCCTTCCGGCCACTTGAAGCAGCGCAGAGCAGGTGGTCCAGGAGGCAGGCTCTGGCTCATGGCCTGGCAGAGGCGGGGCGGGGGGAGTGCAGTTCCCAGTAGCAGGTGGCGCAGGTCTGGGTGGTGGGGAGGGCAGCTGCACATCCTCCAGGGAGAAGGGCCGAGGGAGTGCCCGTGGAGAGGTGAGGAGGGGGCGGAGCTCAGGCTCTGGGTTGGGCTGGCCCCAAATGCTCACGTTCAGAGGAAGTCATGTCCGTGTGCTACCCTCCTGCGTCCCATCGAGCAGGGACCCACATTTGTGCTCACGGAACAGCAGCCACTACGCCAAGGTCTGGAAGCGAACCCATGTCCCCGGGGCACCAACACTGAGTACAGCCGAGGGCGTTGGCTTGTTTCCAGAACTCTGGGAAGACCTGGTCCCTTCCCTTCCTCCCCTTGGACCTGAGGCTCCTTGTTTGTGGGGGGTGGGCAGGGCAGGAGCCAAGACCTGCTTTTGGGACGTGGCTCAGGCTGGGGACCGTGTTCAGGCCACCCTCCCACAGGACCCTGTTCCTCAGCTTTCCAAGCCTCAGGTCAGAAGGACTCGGTAGGAGTGCTCCACACGCCCCACCTCAGAATTCGCCCCTGCCGGGGAGGAAGGGCTGTGCAGGACCAGCGGGTTGAGGCCATGGAGGACCAGGGTGGGAGACAGAAGAGACCCAGGGAGGGACAGAGAAGCCAGTGGGAGACGGAGGCAGGCCTGGGCCCTGCTGGTCCCCAAACCTACTCCATTCTTACATCCATGTATTAGCAACAGCGTTCCCCAGCTGACCGCCTGGCAGTGTGTCAGAATCCAGGGGGGTCTCCAGGTTTGGGGAGGCAGGCTGGAAGAATGTCACTGAAGGGGACAGACGAGGCCATTTGCACCCAGGCAATGGCCCGACTGAGATGCCACCCCGAGGAGCTCAGGGAAATGATGAGCTGGGCCCGGCTCAGAGTTCCGGGGTTTCCCGGCAGCCAGGCCAGGGCGGAAGGGAGTCTGGAACGGGGCAGAGCACAGCAGGTCCTGGGCAGAGGAGGGCCAGGTGGCCGTGGGCGCTGCCCAAATCCCTGACAAGGGCTGTGTCGGGCCCCGCCCTGAACCGCAGTGGCAGGACCAAGCAGCCTCCAGTCGTCCCTGTGCCCAGCAAGCCTGGCCAGGCTAGTGCACATGGGATTTGAGGCCTCACGTTCCCAAGGACGTTCTGATGTGAGAAACCAAAAGCCTTCTGGGAAGTGAGCTGTTTCGTGGGGGTAGACAGCAGGAGGCCAGGGCTGGGTCTGCCTCCAGCCCTACTCCCTCCCCAGGGCCCGGTGCTGGGACATCCTGGGGACGAAGTGGGGTTCTTACCTCATCTCCTACCCAAGTGAGCTAGAGGTCACTGCTCCGGGTGGAAGTGAAGAAGCCAGGCCGCAGCGGAGGGCAGTCCCCTGGCCAGCCAAGCATGTGCCATGGCAGACTTCACTGGGTGGAGCAGTGGCAGCTGCCTGCACTGAGGCCTCAGCAGGCTCAGGCCCCTGGGCAGCCGGGCTCTGGTCCCTAACTCACTGCCACGGTCAGCTTGACCAGAGGACACGAGGCAGCCCTCGGCTGTTCCGGGCGGCCTGCCCCATCTGCAGCAGACGGCCTGGCTGCCAGGCGCCGAGAGCTTCCTGGCGGGCAGCACCTCCCTGGTGGAACTTGGCCCTGAGCAGAGCCCACAGGCTCCCCTGGGAGGACACTGGGAAGCCACGCTGTCGCTCTGCCCCGGGCACCTCTCCCTCCCAGTTTGAATCTGCCCTCTCACTGCAGTAGCCGTAACTGTGAGCTTCAGCCAATCCCTGACCCTGAAGGAGGCCAGTGGCCCTCAGACTCAGTCGTCCCTTGGTGTCTGGCACGGAAGAGCCCCCATGTCTGTATTGGTGAGCTCCCATGCCCCCCAGAGCTGCCTGGAGGCTCCACGTGGCTGTGGGGTCTGTGGGAGGGCAGAGCAGGAACCAGGCTTAGCACAGCCTGGATGGTCACTCAGGGCCGGCCTCCACTCTGTGGGTCCCGGAAAGGACCATCGCTTTTAGCAGCAGGTGGCACCCAGGGAGTCCCCAGTGCGCCCACAGTGAGGAACGCTGACGTGTTCTGATGGGGCTTGGCTGTGCGCGGTTCCTAGGGAAGGAGTAGATGGGGCGCAGGGGACAAAACCGGCAGCCAGAACCTCTGGGTCACAGGCCAGAGAGGGCCGGTGCGGTCCCTGGCTCCTGGGCCGCATCACGGAGTGTGTCTGGGCCCCGATGTCCATAGGGGCTGAAAGCCCGAGGGTCCCCAAGAGCCCTGGGCCCAGGCAGGTGAGGCTGGACAAGGCTCTGCCGGGCTCGGTCCCGCTCCCTCTCCCCCAGGGGGCGCCAGGCGGGCCCTGCGGCAGGAGGAAGCACAGGGGGCGCCCTACCGCGGAGCCGAGGCCATGGGCGCGCGGGTCCGGGCGCTGCTGCTGGCGCTGCTGCTGTGGCCTGGAGCAGCTGGGTGAGCTCAGGGGGCGCTGCTGGTCGGACTGGGGGTGCTGGGGAGGATGGGGTCCTGGAGGCTGGTGGCCGGGGGAGCTCACCCTGTTGCCTCTGCCCAGAATCCCAGGCCGCGAACCGGATTCCAGGTAAGGCACCCTGACGCGCCCTTCCCGCGCTGTGCACGTGGGCGGGTGCAAAGGCGCCTCAGTTTTTCCTCTTCCCCGTCCCAGGACCCTGGAACACTGAGCTGCTCTCAGGTACCTGAAGGGCCTTCGGGAGAGGGTTGGAGGGGTGCGGGCGGTGTCGTCCGACCACGGGACGCGGGGGCAGCGTTCTCTTTCCTGTCGCGCGCAGGTCCCTGGGCGGGCGCTTCTCTCTGGGGAGCCCTTCTTTGCAGGCACTGTGAGGGGCGAGGCCGGCGAGGCGGGTCTGGTCCCCGTAGCTCAGTCGCCAGTCCGGCCGTCCATCCCAGACTCCTGCGGTGACCGGGATACCACCTCTCTGATCGTGGGCGGAGTGGAGTCCGCGCGCGGGCGCTGGCCGTGGCTGGGCAGCGTGCGTTTCGAGAACCATCATGCCTGCGCGGGGAGCCTGCTGAGCCGCCGCTGGGTGCTCTCGGCCGCGCACTGCTTTGAAAAGTGAGTCTGGGGGACCAACAGTTAGCCTAATGGCTATGTTGCTGGACTCCCACGTAGTCGACCGCGTTTCGCGTCCCGGACCCGATGACTTAAAACTACCGCCGTGCGCGTGTGCGTGCGTGCCCAAGATCCCAGGAGAATGGAGAAGGGATTGCAACGTGGCCATCCTCCCTGGGGGGTGATTTCTCGCTTTCTGTCTCTCTGTCTCTCTCTGGTGAGCGCACGCGCCCTATAGCAAAAAACAAAAACAAAACTCTCAAAAAAAAAAGTGAGTCTGGGGGCACCTAGGGGCATTGCAGCGCTGACCGTTCGGGCCTCGCTGCATGTGGGCTTCCCCAGGACACCTGGGTGGGGAGCGGACTTGGAGCACCCTGCTGCTCCGCCCCAGGGCGCCCAGGTTTTGGGACTTCGGCTGTGGCCTCTCTGGACTCTTCTGCTTCTGCAGGCCCTTTGGGCCTAAGGGTGAGGAGGTCGCAGTCCCCTGCAGCCTGACCCCCAGAGGCCACCGTCCTCCCAAGCCACTGCCCTCTTCCCTGCCAGGTACAACAATCCCTTTGACTGGACCGTCCAGTTTGGCGAGGTGACTTCAAAACCTTGGTTCTGGAACCCGTGGACGTACAGCAATCTGTACAAAGTGGTGGACATCATCATCAACCCCAAGTATGTCAGGGCGTTCCACGACATCGCCCTGCTGAGGCTGGACTCCTCTGTCTCCTTCAATCAGTATGTCCAGCCCATCTGTGTCCTGTCCTCCAACTCCAAGTTCCTGCACCGCCCTGACTGCTGGGTGGCCGGCTGGGGCGTCCTGGATGAGAATCAAAGTGAGCTGGGGCAGACGGGCCTTGCCGCAGGCGTCCTTCCTCCCGGCTGCAGGCCCAGCAGCCCCTTGCTTAGAGGGCCCCTCCCCTCGGCCTGCCGAGCATCGTCTCTGCAGCTTAGTCTGTTAGTCCACCTGCAGGGGCAGGACCCGAACCCTCCGTCCTCTCTCCCATCCAGAGGTTTCGTGGGCTAGAAGGGAGAGCGGAGAGGGAGGCCCGGGGCCAGGCTGCGTTTCCTAGCCTGTGCATTGAGGGGGAGGAGGGCGGGCAGCCTTGTGAGAAAGGCGGGTAGCCTTGTGAGAAAGGCCTCAGCCGCTGATGTTGTAAAATTGAGCTTTGACTCAGCAACCAGTTTGGAAGTACTGTATGCAACTGGAGGTTTCAGTCGATTCACAAAATTGTAACCCCCACTCTCTAGTTGCAGAACATTCTTGTCATCTCAAGGAGAGATCCCAAACTCCTTCATCATGGCTGTCCATCCTGTGTCCATGGGCCCACGCCCCACACTAACCTGCTGTCTGTCTCGGGGCATCTGCCCGTTCTGGGCACGCCATGTACAGGAATCACACCGCATGTGGCCCTGTGTCCTGGCTTCTTGGACACGATTTAGTGTCTTCCAGGTTCGTCTGCTTTATGGTCTGCAACGCTGCTGCATCCCCCCTCCCTTTTTGAAGTCTCATTCACCCCAAGTTTGAGGCATGTTGTAAGATGTGTCAGAATCAGTTTTTTTTAAAGAAATTTTTAAATTTAGCTTTATTTATTTTACTTATTTATTTGACCAGAGAAAGAGAGAGAAAGAAAGTGAGAAAGCAAGCCTCCAGTTCTGGGACTTGAACCATGGTCAGGCACGTGGGAGTCTAGCACCCTTAACCACCACACAACCTGCCGGCCCCAGAACTTAGTTCTTTTTAAAAATTATTTATTTAATTTTACTAGTTATCATTATTATTATCTTCATTTGTTATAGGGTTCACGTGCTCATCGAGAGAGAGAAAGTAAGCCATCAGGTTCAGGACTCTA